GAGCGGAGGAGGCGTTTTGTGGTATAATTGTCCATGCTCCTACTGCTTCGAACGAATCCTGTTTGAACGCTCCATCGAATAGGATTTCGGGTTGTTGTGGTTGACTCAATTGATGCGGAAGGCATCCCCTGTAATCGATTGTTTCCATTTAATTGGAAGTTCCCGCATTGGCCCAAATTCCAGCTTTGTCTCATACTCTGATAATCTGCCATAGCATGATGAACAACAGTCTCTGGGGTATCTTTCTTATGTTCCCAGTATAGTTTATTTCTACTTTTCCAAATATGCCATATAATTACTGAGGACTCTTCCAGTAAATCTCTAGCAGGGGCTTCTTTCAGCCACCTTGAAAGCCATTATTGAAAGGATTCACGATCCCCATTTTGGAAATTAAACCCAAACTTTGATAGGAACCAAATTTTCTTTGCTTTCTCACATTCTACAAATATGTGTGAGTTTGTTTCAACCTCTCCATATTGCATTCAAGGCATGTATTTGATGTAGTTATTCCTCTCTTTTGGAGTTGTACCGATGAGGCACATCTTCCATGTAAGAGCTTCCACGTGAAGTGCTGTATTTTTGCCGGAACTCTTAGTGACCAGAGTTTCTTCCTATCCTGGGCGTCTGTTGGCAATTTGACGTTGATGGCCTCAGTGCTCAAGCTTAATTTACGGCCTGATGATAGCCTGATTTTACAGTACATTGACCATGCTTTTCATGCATCCAGATAAGTTCATCTTTCAAATTCAAGTTTGCAGCTGAGAGATGAATCGTTAAAACTCGTTTAACCTCTTTTTCTGAGAAAAACAAAGTCTTAAAAGTGAAGTATTCCATCTTTTGTTGTTATCTTTTGTTGCATGGCAGTAGAAAATTTAACATCAACATCTGAAATTTTTGAATTAATGATTAATTAAGAGCCATTAGATGATCTTAAGACCTCTTTAGTTTTTTCAAAATATTTTGTAGGAACAATGCCTTCTGCCATGCAACTCAAATATGCTCCTACATCCCATAAAGCAATTGTTTCTAAAACAAAACTGTTATGAATGACTAAACTAACTTTTACTTCGTGTCTATGTGTTCTTATAGCTATAAAAAGTAAGGTCGTTTTATTTTTTGGAGGACTTCCAAAAAATCATCTTCTTCTATTATCTCTTTTCCTTTATCATTTATTAAGGATTTTAATGTTAAACTTTCTAACTCTTGTCTTGCTTTAATTTCTTTTATCTCCTTTTTAAGTTGGATTTTCATTCTGTAAGTCTTGTATTGTTACTTGTTTAGATGGTTTTTTAGGGAATCTCTCAAGTATTTCTGTTAAATTGTAGGTATTAAGTATTTTAGGATGGTTTGCTATGTGATCGGGACTATTTTTAGAGGTTGAAGGGGTTTCCTGCACTAGTGTTTTAAATTTTGATAAGAAAATTTTCTTCTGTTCAGCATCTTCATGTTTATCTATTAATTCTAAGAATAAATCTTGTTCTTTTGTCAACACACTTATAGTGGGTACATCAGACTCAGTAGAGCTTGATTCTTCTATGCTATCATCAATATTGTTTATATGATTATCTTCACTATATCCTGAATCTTCATCACTATATTCAATTAATAAATTTGTTAATTGGTTAATAACGTTCTCTTTGAAGTTTAAGGCTTGAATTCTCCTCTTTAATCTACAATATTTAGCTATATGTCCAGGTTTTTTACACCTATGGCATATTATATTAGGTAATGCTGGAGCATGTTTTTTTATCAGGAAGAGCTTTCCTATTGTCCTTTTGCTTAAAAGGGTTTTAAAGATCTATAATTTCTATAAGGATTTCTATAAGAGGATTTAAAATTTCTTTTATTTTTCTTTGGAGGATGACAGATTGGGAAACCAAATTGTTCACAGAAAGTACCTAGATCTTTACTTCTATGATTTTTATATTTAGCTAATTGTCTGAGAATCTTGTCTTGCCGACATATTTTTAAGGCAACTTGTTGGATTTGACTAGTAAGTTGTCCATAAGTGATCTGTTCATATGACACAACACCATTATACTGGGTTTGTAATTCTTCTTTAACTAAATTTCTTAAAGATTTTGGTAATCCATCTAAAATTTTTTCTTTCCAATAAGGTTGGTTTCCATCAGGTCTAGTGAATATTTTTGTAAAAAACATATTTTTATACCATCTAAAATCAGAAAGACTTTTACATTTAAGATTATTTAAAAGTTCAAAAGGCCTATCTCTAAATATATCAGGATCTCCTATAAAAGCTTTAGCTATAGAAAAGATTAAGGTGGACACTGAATCAGATATAGTCTCTCCTTCACTATTTGATATTGGTTTTCCATCTTGATCAACTTTTATTGCATTTAGTATTTCTTGTTTTAATTCATTAGAGAGGAGTTCATCCCACCATCCTTTTAATTGTCCTGTAAATCCGATGACCAGTATGTGAGTTGTTAATTGATCTGTATAACTATGGGCTGTACGATAAGCTGTAGCTACCATTGTCATTTGTTGAAGTATATTCATGATATTATATTATGATTGCCCATCTATATTCCATTCATAAATATTATTAGCATTATAACTATTTTGCAAAATATTGAGTTTTTCATCAAGAATGGTATTAGGGTACTGCTCTAGGATAATATAATTTATTTGAATTCTTCCATGAAATTCTATTATTTTTGTGATGTCTAAGCTTAGATATTTCAAACTGTTCTGGCTGACTCTCTGGTTCTGAATTATCAGGAGACAAAGTTTCTTCCAAAACATACACAGAGGCTTGGTTAACAGAAGTAGAAGCAAGATTGTTTGATTTTTGTTTACTGACTGGTGTTTGAAAAGATTCTTCAATCCTTGCTATCCTTTTTTTAAGCTCAGTTAATGGTTTATTAATTTGTTTACTTAAATCAGTTGGAATTTCATATGGTTTAAAAACAGACTTGTCAGGAAAAGAAGTTGACGGCTGACTATTTGAAAAAGATTTTGTAACAAGATATTCTCCTATTGTTTGTAAATACCTATTGGTATAATTATTTTGTTCACAAATACTTTGAATATCTTTTGTACAAATTTCTTCTCCTGGTTTTATCTCTCTATTTTTTGAAAGAAATTACTTTAATATTGACTGACTTATAAGGTGTTGTAATAGGTTTATTAGGTGAAAATTCGGAGCGAACATGCTCTCCTTCTAGGGTTTGCCAAGTTTTTGTAAAAACTTTATTTTTATCATCAAGAGGATAATCAGATTTTTGAAAAGAAGTATAATTTTCTAACCAATCAAAGAATAAAACATGTACTTCATTTTTTTTGTAAAAAATCATAATATAGATTTTGTATTGTAGTTTTTTCATTTTTATATGTTTTGAAAAACCATTTTCTTTTTTCTGTGTTATTTTCTGAATAAAACTCTTTTTTAAGTAAATTCTTGTCTATTTGAAATTCACTTGGGTATTTTGAATTGGAGCTGATGGAGTGGCATCAGGCAAAAATCATTATTCTGGCAATGTGACCTAAGTCCAATTTATAAATTTAGGAATAGAAATCCGAGACCTTGACAAATTTGTTTGGAATAATACAGTTTCTCCTTTTTTATGTGTTTTAAGAGCTCCTGTATTAAAAGCAGAATTCATTGCCTTATATTGGATTCTAATTATAAGTGCCACATGCAAAGATCCTGTTTTTGTTTTATAATTTGCAGTTTTTATATTTAAAGTCAGAGAATCTAAAATATTTTGATCTCTTAGGGAAACTGTAAAATTGGGAAAACAATCAAGATAAACAGGGCCTCTACATAGACTTGTTTATACCATTCCTAGTAAAGAATCTTCAAAGTTTAGAAATCGACAATCTCTTAAACAAAGAAGAAGAGAGGTATTTAGACCTTCTCTGCTTAATGGTTTTGGTGCAACTTGAACAAGACCAAAATGTAAATAATTGTATTTTTGTCTATGTTTTTCTATCATTTTTGATGATAGGAGTTTAATTTGTTCATATTCTAAATTCAAAACTATTGTTTGTTCTACAATTTTAATTGTATATTGACTAGTAAGATTTCATTTATTATAATAAATATCTTTATTTGGATGCTTAGGAATTTTCCAATTGTCTATTGATTGATTTATATTTTCTAAATTAATTTCTTTTTTTAAATAAAACATTTGAAGAAGAAGTAGATGTTGAGGGAGAACAAGACTTAGAAAAAATTCTAAAAAATGACACTATTCTAAATAAATAGGAGAACAGAGAAAGTCAGCACAAAACGTGAATGAATATAAGTTGTAATATTCCTGGGTTGGTACAGAAACCTTAGAGTTCCATGAGTTATAACTATGTATTTAGATTAATCATGATAAATAAGTTTCAAATCTATTATGTAATGTTGTTTTATGCTTATTACCAAACTGATAACCAGACTAGTTTCTCAACTATGGTCCATCTGGCTTGTACTTTTATCCTGCCAGAAGTATCAACCACTAGTTGGCAAAACAGGCACATAGATATAGACCCATGCATAAGATAATAGATCGGAAAGAAATTTATCATGTTTAATTAAAATATACCATTATAATCCACTTCCCCCTCCCTGAGGCTCTGAAAGTTGTTTATTTAATTTATATTGTATAAAATCAAAATACACCATTATACACGCGCGTATGTATGTATTCATTTTTTGGGCCTTTGGGTTATTGGATCAAATTACAACTTTCAGTGTGTGATATTCGCATTATATCATGAACAAAAAATCCTTGGAATCACTCCATTTGAGGTGATTACAATTTAAAAGTAGATTTACATGTCAATTAAAGTCGCAAACCAAATGATGGATGCCTTGATAATATGATATGATTTAAATGTGTAAAGATACAATAAAGAAAATACTCATGTTGTAAAATCTCAAAATAAATCCTAAACCCTAGCTTACTACTTATATAAACTTTAAAAAGTTCATCAAAAACCCAAAACCTATTGGGCCATTATCATCCATATTTGTTGTCGTTCCTCATTTTGCATTGAGATGAGAAAAACAAAATGAACTGGAAACAAGGGCAACTCAGTCATTCCACAAGTGACAAACTGATAACAAGAAGAAATTGATTTTGACCCATCACCTTTTATATAATTCGTCCCCGCCTGTCTGACACTTCTTTTTACTCATTCTGCTTCGTCACTTTTGCTTTCCCTCATTTTTTTTTTCTTCCATTAATCTTCAACAATGAAGCTTCATGGAGGAATACTTACCATTCTTCTCAGTCTTCTCTTTATAGCAGAATTCATCTGCATTTCCGAGTCAACTCAGCCTCCATTCTCATGCGACACATCCAACCCACAATCCCATTCCTTCAAATTCTGCCAAACCAATCTCCCAATCCCACTCCGAGCCCGTGACCTCGTTTCCCGCCTCACCATCGACGAGAAAATCTCCCAGCTGGTTAACACCGCGCCCGGAATCCCCAGGCTCAGTATTCCGGCATATCAATGGTGGTCGGAAGCTTTACACGGCGTCGCCGACGCCGGACCGGGCATCACTTTTCAAGGCGGCGCCATTCACTCTGCCACCAGCTTCCCTCAAGTCATCCTCACCGCTGCTTCCTTTGATCAGAAACTCTGGTATCGCATTGCTCAGGTACTAATTAATGAAGTTCAGTTCCATTAATTAGAATTGCCTACTTTTCTTTTTTACTTAAAATGGTATGCTAAATTTTAGCTTGGTACATTAATTACAAGTTTACAACGACTGCCCAACAATCTTGATTGATTCATTCTACCTGTTCATCAGACTTATAATTATTGTCTGCAAAATAATTAAGTTAAAAAATGTAGCTTTGGCCCTACTCGAATCTGGAATGGATTTGTTGCTTTAATTATTGTTGTTCCCCTTTTAAGGACATTCTGTAACTCTGTTAATGACTATGCTCTGTTTTCATCTTTGTATATTTTTCTTTTGTTGTTTGGTTTCTTTTACTCTGTTAATGTAATTGAAATTTTTCATGTTTTTAAGGTGATTGGAACAGAGGCAAGAGCAGTGTACAATGGAGGACAAGCCAAAGGGATGACATTTTGGGCACCAAATATAAACATTTTCAGGGACCCAAGATGGGGAAGAGGGCAGGAAACACCAGGAGAAGATCCATTGGTAACTGGGAAATACGCTGTTGCCTACGTTCGAGGAGTTCAAGGTGATAGTTTCCAAGGTGGGATGCTTACACACGGACAACTCAAAGCTTCTGCTTGTTGCAAGCATTTCACTGCCTATGATCTTGATAATTGGAAAGGAACTGATCGTTTTAGCTTCAATGCCCAAGTAAGTTTCCCTTTCTCTGTACTCTGTTTTCTCTGATGCTGACCAATTACCACCTCTGTTTTGATTTTTGAAATTTTGAATTCTACTAGATAATTTTAGTATACTTTCTACATTTGATTGGATTTGTTTTTGTCTGATTTGTTTGCTGATATATTGGGTGTACTTTAATTTGGTCCATTTGTGGCAAATTGTGACTTTGTAGTGTTTCAAGATAAAATGTTTATTTTATGTGATCCTTTTGAGACATGGTTGATGGGTATTGGGTACCTTACAATCTTGTCGTCCTTCTGACATTATTTTTATTTTCTAAGGAAATATATGATTTGGGTTTGAATTGTTACTCCCTCCATTCCAAAATAAATGTCATTCTACACTTTGCACATAGTTTAAAAAACTTTTAAATAGGATAATAAAATTACTTGAATATCCTCAACCAACCCCATTAAAAAAATGTCCACCAATAGTATTAATTCTTTCGAGGGTAATTTTAGAAACTTTGGACAAAAAATGCATTGAAATGTGAAAACGACACTTATTTTAAAATTTCTCTATTTTGCTAAAACGATACTTATTTTGGAAGGGAGGGAGTACATCGTAAGAAATGCATAATGCTGTAAAGGGGGAAGAATGAATTGTTCTTGCAGATTATAGTGTGAGAAGAAACGTTATCTAGGATAAGAAATATGGTCGAATTTGTGTCTTATCCTTGATGTGTAAGTTTTGTCTTGTGTCTCTGAAATAATCGACCTTTGTTTTTGCATTAATCTTTGGCTAATGAATGTGCATCCACGAAAGAATCATTTTGGTAAGTGTAAGCAAAAATTATCTTATTGGGAATTAAGTTACTAGAATTTGGTGTGAGATTTCATTTTAGTGGTTGTATTATCTTATTTGTTTGACGATTTCTAATAAAATTATCAAAATTTCTCCTAATTGGTTGAAGAAGTTTTACAGATGGAGTGAATGTGCATTCTTGTACTCCTGTTCTTGCACCTAACCCCTACTATCTTGATATCAAAGGCTAAAGTGAAAAAGAAATTTGACTAATTACATTATTGATGCTGGCCTTTCTTTTTCCAAAAAGATACTAATTATCTTGTTTGTAGCTGTTGTTGAAGGTTGAAAAAAATAAAAGCTGAACTTGTATGTGAAATACAAATATATTGTAGGAAAGGTAGTAACCATGATATTCGGTACTTAAGGCATATTAGTGTCATAGCTTAAAAGTTTTGTTAAGTCTTTGTAAGTGGGTTTCCAAGAGTAAATTATGTTTTTTTTTAAAAAAAAAAAAAATTGATTTTTAGGTGACAAAGCAAGATTTGGCGGATACGTATCAACCGCCATTTAGAAGCTGCATTCAAGAAGGCCGAGCAAGTGGAATTATGTGTGCTTATAACCGGGTGAACGGAGTTCCAAACTGTGCCGACCGGAATCTCTTGACGGGAACTGCCCGTCAACAATGGGGATTTCACGGGTAAAGTTGTTACCACACTAAACCATCTCCACTAATAAGCGTTCTTTTGTAGCGTTTGATTACCAAAAAAAAAAAAAAATCCCAAATATCGACTCAACTAACAAATTTATGGTGAAATAATTATTGGCATTCTACTAGCTTGACATATATGACCGATAATTCATAAGTTTGACCTAGAGCGGTCCAATATATATGATATTTTAGTACGACAAACAAAATTAGTAACTTTTTTTATAACGTTAAAAAGTATTATATTCTTAGGATTTATTTTTTTACTGACTTAAAAATTAAAATCTCATTTTGAGAATAATCAGGTACATCACGTCGGATTGTGATGCAGTGGCCATTATTCGGGATAATCACAAATACGTAAAAACACCAGAAGAGGCGGTGGCTGATGTGCTCAAAGCAGGTAATTGTGAAGTCATTAATTCAGATCTTTCTTCATTGTTTGCAATTAAGGGAAATGGGTCAGTAGCCAGTGGACAGTCAAACAAAGGGACTGAAATGGACCTTTTCTGGGCCCACAGATTGTAGATCTAAGTGGACTGTAGAGCCCAATTGAGAGTGACTAATCTAGATAACTTTTGAGGATTGAAGCAATCTGGTCCATTTTGCGGGCACGAGTTGGACCTTATAATTTTGGCAGTGTTACGAGAAAGGGTAGTGATATTGCCGGGCTAATAATTAGCCTGAGAAAAAGTGCCATCATTTCTTAAATTACGCTTAAAAAATCAAAAAATAAAATAAAAAACAAAAATAAGTAAATAAAACTACCCCCTCTCCCTTCCCTGCTTCGTTGATTCTGGATTCCAAAATGCAAAATTTCTAGCTCTTTTTTCTCGGTTGTTGTTAGTAAGATGACTCTGTACAAACTTCTAATAATTATATAACCCCCTATCATAAAAACTTCTTACAATTTTAAAGACTATAATACTTTTTATTATGTTACACACACCATAATTTCATAAAAAAAACTAGTGCAAGTTAATCAAATTTATTGTGTGGGACAAGTTAAGCTTCATTAAGACATTAGTCATTTGTTTTAATCTCTCTCGTTCCTCAAGATGGTAACGCAGAACAAAGGTTCCACATAAGAACCACAAGAAAAATAGGCTTTCTCATAAAAGTTGTAGCAAATTCCACCAATTCCTTTTAATTCCATTCGCTCAGTACAAAATCTATGAAATCAACATACTCAATTATATCGTTGAGCATCAAATTAACTTCAAAACCACCTACCTAATTTTCATAAAATCCTCTTCTTTTCTTGAAATAAATCCCCTTTCCTCTGTTTTCTTTTCTTTTTTCTTGAAGTAAATCCATAAAATCGCTTCACCTTCTCTCTGTCTTTCATTTTCTTCAATGACAAAGTTATAAATTTATTCAACTTTTTTGACTAATATAAATAGAAGAATTCAAATCTTCAATAGAACAAAATTGTCTGCCCTTGAATTTTTATGAAAGAAGATGCAAAGGTCAAAGATTGAATTTTCGAGTTGAAAGCTAAGACTCAGGATTGAGAGGATGAAGAATATGAATTATGATAGTATTGATAGTTTATCATGTAGTGAAGACTAACCAAATTGTTGATAGTGGGGAATAATTCTTTTTTGGGAGGTAGAGGATAATAACTTGTAAAGAGTTTAAGTTGGGTGCCAAAGAGATGAAAGAAGATCATGTTTGACTGTTTAAGGATATTTTAGGAAATTATGACAATTTTTGCTCTGTTGGCTAATAATAGCCTTGGAAATATCACAAGCCTATAATGCACCGAGTGAAACTAGCCAATAAAATATCTTATCTAAAATATGTCATAATACAATGTGTTGTTTTACTAGCAAGGCACGGTCGATATGGATTTCTATGTTAGGAATAGGACAGCAAGCAAGGTATAATCTAGTGAAATGTGTTGGTTTACTAGTAAAGACTGGTTGATACCAGAGAGAGGGATTATACATTAAGTGGAACTGATGATGATTTCTTCTTTTAAATTATTTTTATTTCTTAAAAAAAATGTTGCAATGATAGAACAAATGATCACATTCAGTGGCAACCTTAAAAATGAGAGGAAACTTGTATTTTCTGACGTATGTTTTTTCAGTTACATTTACGAAGAAGCTTTGAATTGATTGCTGGGAATGACTTTTGATGCAGGAATGGATGTTGATTGTGGATCCTATTTGGCTAACTATACAAAATCAGCTCTTCAGCAGAAGAAGATTACAGAAACTGAGATAGATAGAGCCCTTCACAACCTCTTCTCTGTTAGAATGAGATTGGGATTGTTCAATGGAAATCCAAACAAATTGTTGTATGGAAACATTGGTTCAAACCAGGTGTGCACTAAGGAGCACCAGGACTTGGCCCTTGAAGCTGCAAGAAATGGCATTGTGTTACTCAAGAACTCTGCTCGGCTTCTACCCCTTTCGAAGAAAACTTCCTCCCTAGCTCTAATAGGGCCTAATGGGAACAATGCAAATGTGATGCTTGGGAACTATAATGGTCCTCCTTGCATCTCTGTTGAAGTGCTTAAAGCACTGAAAAGCTATGTGCAAAACACAGTGTTTCATCAAGGTTGCAATGCTGTCAATTGTACCTATGCCGCAATCAATGATGCTGTGAACACTGCGAAGGGAGCGGATTATGTTGTGTTAGCCATGGGATTGGATCAGGGTGAAGAAAGAGAGTATCTTGATCGCGTCACTTTAACGCTTCCAGGCCAACAAGAGAGCCTGATCACAGCTGTGGCTAATGCTGCCAAGAAGCCTGTGATATTAGTCCTGTTTGGTGGAGGTCCAGTGGATATTTCCTTTGCAAAGTACAATCCTAAAATCGGAAGCATTTTGTGGGTTGGTTATCCTGGCCAAGCTGGAGGAATTGCACTTGCTGAAATCTTATTTGGTGACCACAATCCAGGTAAAAACATTCTTCATTCCCAGCTGAATTCTGTGCTCATTGGTTTTCAACTTCTCATTCAAAATGTTAAAAGTGAAGATCTCATTCTAAACCTGTGAACAGGAGGAAGATTGCCAATTACTTGGTATCCTAAAGATTTCATCAAAGTACCAATGACAGACATGAGAATGAGGGCTGATCCATCCTCCGGATATCCTGGCCGAACATACAGATTCTACAATGGCAAAAAAGTATTCCCATTCGGATACGGGTTAAGCTATTCAACCTATTCATACAGCTTTGTGCATGTTTCTCAGAGTTCAATCTACATGAGGAACTTGACAGCCACTCAATCAGCCGAGACCTCATACGGGGTTCGGTATCTCTCAGTGTCTGATATTAGCACAGAATCATGCGAGAATGCTAAGTTCTCTGCAGTGGTAGGAGTTGAAAATTCAGGGGAAATGGCTGGAAAGCATCCAGTGCTACTGTTTATGAGGCAGGAAAAACTCAACAGTGACACTCCAGCAAAACAGTTGGTTGCATTTGAAAGTATAAGCTTGGAAGCTGGAAGTAAAGCTGAAATTGAGTTTACAGTCAGCCCTTGTGACCACCTTAGCAATGCCAATGAAGAGGGGTTGATGGTGATAGAAGAAGGATCTAGGTTCTTGATTGTAGGAGACAAAGAGTACCCTTTTAACATTGTTGTATAAACAACTTTGTACCAGCAGTGGAATCACCCATCCTGCACTGTGCCCTTTATAATAATTTGATGATCCTGACATTTAAATGTAACAACTGTTATTATGAGACAGTATTAAAAAAAAAAAAAATAGAAGCTGAAATTTTGCTTTCTGTATCAACAAAGATCCAGAAGACAAAAATCTGTATTGAATCTACAGGGAAATTACTTGCTTCATTTCCAGCCAAACTCTAGCAATGACATTTAGAAATCAATAAATTTTTATTCTCTGATGATAATTTTTTTTTTTTTTTTCTTGAAGGGTTAGAAAGGATGCAGTACATTCACACTATATATCTTAGTGGTTTTTTAAGCTCTTTGCGTACTATCATTTTTCCTCTAGAAAATAATTTTCTTTTCTTTTCTTTGTTAGAATATTCATACACAAAGTTACAACATTTGTCCCCTATTATCGTCAACTATACGATGGACGAGGTTCAACGAACAAGATACTCTCTTTCCTCAGCCTGATCAGCATTTGTTGGTTTTTTTTTTTATAATTATTTTATATTAATTGTCTCATACTAGCGTATCTTTTTATATTTCTACTTTTTTTTTTTTACATTCTCAATACGAAAAACACCTAAAAACACACACTAAAAAATAAAAAACATAGACATTTTTGGCTCCGAAAATTAATAAAAGACAATATATATATATATATGTATATATATGCATCATATATAGCCGCGCGTATTATTATCTAGAGCCTAGAAGTAGGATAACTTTAATTTAATTTTCGCTTAGAATAATCTCATAGTTCAGGAACTAAGAAAAATACTAACGTTTTAATTAGCTATATTACAATTTACAAGAGCCTCATCATACTGAGGACATGAATAAGGGCCACGAAAACACTCAAAATAACAAACGTAGATCGAAACAAAATTATTGTAACAGCTGCATGGTTATGAAGATCTCACATTCCATTAACTAATTAAAAGTTAGACAAATTATGGACTTCATGTGCTGAAAATCTATAAAATCAAATTTTCATTGTTGAAATTGTTTCATAAAAAGAAACAAGTAATCTCACTTAATTGGTTAACTTCCTTAAACACATGCTAAGAACAACCAAAATGTAGAACAAACGTTAAGTCTCGTTTCAAACCGCGGACCTTTCATTTGTCATTAATGACGATAATGCGCGATAGAAGTTTCACGAAGGTAAAAAAAAAAAAAAAGAAAGAAAGAAAAGAAAATAAAAGCAAAATAGAGATAATTACACGACGTGATAATAAGTTTCAAAATGCCCTACGAGAAATATACTACTCTTCTGTCATGAAATTATTGTCTAATTAAATTTTTTTTTAATTTAAATTGTAATAAAAAAGAAATCTCAAATTAGATATATAATAATTTTGGGACAGATGGAATATGAAATATAACACTATAACATCTAACTGAATAGTATATCTTTGGTTGATGATGACAATTGCAAATCCCAAATGCCATGTTTTCAATGGCAAATGAAATGGTTTACCACTTTACAGTGGTTTTTGCATTATGATTTCCAAAAAAGGCTAAGCTGATCCTTCACAACCTCTTTGCCGGTGATGATTGTTTTTGTGCAATAAATAAACCTACTGAATTGGGATAGTAGCAACTTGTAACCATTGCCTTTTGTCTAGTATTTATGCAATGCAAGTTTTTTTTTTTTTTTACTTGGTGAATAAATAAAACATGCAACGTGACCATTAAAGATGCAAAGTTGTAATTTTCAAAGATCAATTACTGATAACTATAGTACATCCTATACCCATCTCATCAAAAGGGCACAATTACTGATCTTTTTTTTTGTTGGGGGTGTTATCTTATCTACAAATAGGAAATTAAAGGTGAAATTTAAACCAAAAAAAGAAAAAATGGATCGTCCCTTTTCAACTTGAATTTATGATTTCAAATTATGAATTTCTTTTTTTTTTTTTTAAGACGAAACTTATAAATTGACCTGTAAATGCATTCACTAAAAAGAAAACAAACATATAAAACATTGGCAATCAACTCATTGCTCACAATATCATTGTTTCGGGGGAAAGAAAAAAACTCTAAATATCATAACTAATGTAGTAATGTTAATTTATGGATTTACTGAAATGCTATTTTCCTTCGAAGAAATGACATTTGATTCACTATATGCGTTATAAGCTCACACTATTATAATCTCACTTCATGCATGTAAATTGTAAAAGGCCAATAGCTTTATTTACATCAAACAACCTTCTCTTTTCGTCTCAAATTAATGATCTTATTTGCCGTTCTTTTTAATAAATGTTTTAACAATCATTTTGAATAGAGTAGTCTTTTTTCCCCGGAATTGACTAACCCAAACCACTGTACTGATTCTTAAAATGTTAGGATCGGATTTCCACTGTGTGTCTTGGGTTCGTGTCGCCACTGGGACATGAATTCCCCGTATGATCAGTACAAGTTTCCAACCTTACACTTTCATCTAGTCAATCATCTATGGCTATTACGACTTTACCCTGATCATACTTAAATTCATTTATGTATGAGATCAATCAAATGTATTGAGAATAGAATTTCATATCAGTGTTGGGAGAATATTGATGTCAATATATTATTCGAAGTGTAGTTGTAATTTCGAACCTCGTTGTCAGTTACGGTAGCGAAACTAGGGGACCAGTAACAGCAGTCGTCTCCCTCGCTAGAATTTTTTCTTAAAGGTGTTTATTTTAGATTTTCGCTCTTACAAACTAAAATTTTGATCATTTTACCCCTCTATTCATAAAATCCTAGCTTCGCCACTGATAAGTTAGTTTTCAAGTATACAAATTAATATGAACAAATCAAGGGCTTCCTCATTCAAACTTCTATACCCCAAATTGGTAAATTCATGTGTTAGTTCGAACGGAGCTGATATTATTGCAAAAACATAAGATGAAGTAATAAGTATGAATTTTAAAATTTGATGTGACGTATAAATTAACTTTAAAACTCAAGTAGATTATGTGTTTGGAACGGAGTATGAATTGAACAATTGCATCTGAATTAGATCACTCTAAAGAATGGATTGAGAATTCGAGATCATAGTCTTTACAGCACAGCTACGTATAGTAGTTTTGCGAGCTTATAAGAGGAGAAATATTAGATTTTTTTTATTTTTATTTTTTGCAAAACCTCAATTAATTAAAATTTCTGATATTGTAAATAAAACTTATCACATGCCTATTAAGAGCATCGAGATGAAGATGCATTATCTTAGGAGATAAGAAAGTTGATTCAAGGAAATTTAATCCCTCGAATATAGTAAAAATCTTATCTTCCGTAAGGTAATTGTACTAATTCACACCCAAAATATTTTTAGGAAATTGAGCAATTTAAATATTTTCCATACCGAATTCGTTTTAGAGCAAAATTCTGCCGACATTAAATCATTGATGACTAACTATGGAGAAGGAGATTATAGAGAAAACATTCACACGTATCATCCCTAAATTTTAGAAATAAAATAAAATTCAAACAAACAAAAGACATATCATCTGCTCATTTTTGTGTCTATATCTAATTATGAAATCTTTAAAACAAAAGCCAAAATATAATCGTGGATTAATTTGGTCAAGTATATGAAGGAGGTACAACTTCACAATCAATTACCAAATTCATTATCCCATTATAATTTTGTTTATTGTGCTCATGGAAATTTATCAAATCCCTCGTGTTCATTGTTGATTCATTCATATATGTATATAAAAAGAAAAGAAAATACTTCTCGTGGATAAAATAAATTAATATTGACCAACAAATCTTTATATATATATATATATATATATATATATATATTAAAGGAGAGTTTTCGTTCGGACACATGTCGTAAAACTAGATGGGGTAGGTCACATAGCATAAAATTAGATGGCCACGTCCACATGTCGCTAGGAGATTAATCTTTAATTTTGTAATTGTAAATTCGTTAAAAATATTTCCAGCCAAAATTATATTGGTTAAGTTTATCACTTCTTTCATCACTATCATAAATAGTCAACACCACCAAATATATGCTGAGTACCCTGTCATTTACTTTATTTAATCTTCGTTTAAATTTTTTTCCTTATCATTGATAAGTTGGCGAGTAGTCAAAAATCAAAATGCCTTTATAATAATAATAATAATAATAATAATAATAATAATAAAATAAATTATATATTAATTGACCAAACTGATAATAGAATAATATATTATATGATATATTATAACATACTATAATAAATGATTACTAAGGAATTGATATAATGATATAATATTTTCATTATATTTATTCCATATGATGTTATGATTATATTTAATAAGGAAAAAGTTTTCCAAAATGAGAAAAATAATAAAGGTTGCAAAAGGTGTATAAAGATGAAAAAATATAGAAAAAATAATAAATATTGCAAAAGGTATATAGATGTTACAAAAGGTTACAAAAGTTATCAAATTTAGGGAAAAAAGAAAAGAAAAGAAAAGAGGTGTGCAACGAAAAACAAATAAGTAAACATTATATTATATGAAAAATGTATAAAAAACCCTCTAAACAAAGGTTGCAAAAGATATATAAGGAAATGAAAAATAAAGATAACTTTATAGAAAGAAATGATGAGAAAATTTTCTGTTAAAACAAAGAGTATAAAAAATATGATACGTATAGAAATATTTAGAGAAATCATAATAAAAATTAATACAATATTTTTAATATATATGAAGCCATAACCAACAAAACTAAAAAAGATGGAAAATAAGTTATATTGGATGTTTTTGAATTTTGAAAATCATTCCAAATACACTTAAAATAATGAAACACATTGTCATTAAAAATTACACAATGACAATTACACCATTTTTTTTAAAAAATATATTACTTCATCGGAAATATCATATAATTATTAAATTTATATATATTTTGAACAACCCGCACAATGTGTAGGGTAAACATTAGTTTAAACAAAGGAAGGAGGAAGCGTAGAACGGAGCCTCTTACGAAACGGCCCAGATCAAAATACCCATAAACCCATACAACGGTACCCACTTATTTCCCACGAAAACTATCATACACCCGCGATACAGGAAAATACTCCCCCACTCGACCCGATTGACACGAGCTCCTTGAATCCAAATCCCGAAACCGGCCTTTATCTTTATCCAAATCACCGCCTCAAATTTAAACCACAGGACGTAAATAGCCCAACATCTGAAGGGTGTTTTCGGGAAACTAAATTAATGACGATCCAGCACCGCACAGAATAATAAATTAAAAGAAAACAAAAATTCCAAAATAGAAAAAGAAAACCTCCGACGATTTCTCGGCCGGAGGTTTAAATTTCCCGGCGACCGGCGATAAAGACTGAACGGCCTTTAGACCTCCTTGTTCCCTATAAATACCCCTCCCATCCCCTCACTTTTACGCACATTCCTCACTCCTTTCCATCACCAAAGAGAGCAACACGTTGATATTCCAAAACTCCAAAAATTTGCTGCCAAATTCTGATATTTCTCTCACTTATAAAAAATTGAAAAAATTAAATTAATATCGCTTTCTCTCCCTTTAGATTTGGTGCACTTTTGAAGAAGGTATTTTCTCTTTTTTTTTTTTTAATTTTATTTTTTTTCCCCTTCCTCTTTTTAATTTAGTTTCTTGCTTCTTCTTCTTCTACTTGTAAACAACATTATTAATGGGGGTTGACGAACAAATAATATAGATCCAAAAAAAGTGTAAAAAATATTAAAAATTAACAATCCGTGAATGCGTTTGACTATGCGAATTCAGCCATCTGGTTAATCGATCTGACCTTGGGGATTCCACGTTAATTTTTGTTCATCGTTTCTTGGGGATTTTTAATCACATGTGCGTAGTTCTTTGCTCAGTTTTCATTGTTTTTTTGGATTTTCTGGTTAATGAAGACCTTAACTGAATGCTTAGGATTAGGACTGAAGACTTTTTCTTTCTTTTCTTGTTTTTTTTTTTTCTCCCGTCAATAATTATTGGATGGAAAAAAACGTCTGTGCTGGTTATGGTGATTGTTATGCTAATTAGGTAATTCTGAGTTGTGCTCTGATACTGTATCTTGGATATTTTTTTGTTGAGCTGTAATGGAGTTTTTGTTTATGGTTCGGTTTCGATTGGATTGGAACTGTGAGTCTTGTGAGGGTTGTTTGTGCATTAGGGCTAGGGCTAGTGAGCTGTGACTCTAGAACTCTGTTTTGATTCTTTAGCGTGAATATAATGCGGCGGTATGGAATCTATTTGCCTTTAGGGATGTGGAGAAGGGTGGATTAGACCTAATGATGAAGTAGGTTGGGGATCTGATTTTTGTACTTGATTTGAGCCGGAATGTGTTGGTTAGCTTCAACGCCAGTGAATGGATTTTCTCTTGTTGCTCTGATGTCCTGGGATGCTTTATTTTTTTGTTCTCCTTGATTCTTGGGTTTGTTCTGTTATGGGTAATTTGTTGTTTAGTTGGATTCATCAGTCATTTTATTGGAATTGGATATTGTGTTCTTTCTTTCCTCCTTTGATAATATCATGTCATGTGGCCGAGAGTTGATGTTATGGTAGTTCTTGCTGTGCACGTCTCTGCAGCATAGTTAGTGTAGCATAAGAGGGGTATTGTCTTTGATTATTACTTAGTTTTCATTTTCCTTCTTTCTATGCTTAAAGATTGTTTCCTAGTAGTTGCTTTTAATTGTATTCCGTCTTAGGCTTTAGTTTTCTTTTTTGTTTACTATGTACATGTCAGTACTTGATTTCTCTTCCTGATATTTATTGCAGATATTCTTTCTTGCGGTGTTGTGATTTCGCCTTCTGGAGGTTGAAATTTTTTGGAAATACCTCCGGAATTGGTATGTTATCTGCATTTGTAAACGAGATAGTTGGCGATTGGGAGTCAGATAAATTTCAATATCCGGTTCTATTTGTATGCAATTTCAAGTGAGATGGGCTCCAAGGGAACGCTACCATTTGATCTAAATGAGCCTCCCGCCGAAGATGATGATAGTGAAGGAGTTGTTTTGTTCCAGCCGCAGAAGGCTGTTCCTTCCTCAAGCTCTCACACTGATTTATTTTTGACATCTTCTGGTACACAAGGGATTGTAAATAACAATGCTTTTGTTCATGCATCGTCTGTCTCGGGTTTTCAGCCGTTTATTAGGCCGAAGAGTGCTCCGGTGTCTGAACACTCTACTGGACGAAAGAGTCCAGATAATGCAACCACGAATACTGCATCTTCGTCTAAGTCCAGCAGGCCTGATGATGTGAAGACAACTGGCCAACAGGTTTATTCAGCTTCTGCTGATCCACAAACTATTGAAAAGGAAGAAGGGGAATGGTCAGATGCAGAGGAGTCTGGAGATAATTATCGGAATAGCACTAAGAATGAGGAGTCAACTACTACCAGTAATGGAAATTTAAAGGAGAAAGAAGTGGCTGGGACGGGAAATAGTAATCTTTCTCAAGTTGTCGCCAAGGAGGATGTCTGTCAGAAAATTGACGATGTTAAATTTGAAAATGGGGAAATTGGGTGCTCAGGATTGGACCAAGATACAAATGATAGGAAGAGCAGTAGTAGTCGTACTTCAGAAGGAAACTCTATGAATGGCCAGGAAGATACTGGGTTGGTACCAAAACAGAAGGAAATTAAAGGAGTTGAGGCAAGTTATGCGCAAAAATGTGCAAATAATCCTATAAAGCGGCCTAGGATTGACCAACAGAAGGAAGCAATGCTAGGGAAAAAACGCAGCAGGCAGACCATGTTTTTAAATTTGGAAGATGTAAAACAGGTTGGAAATGGAAAGGTCTCAACTCCTCGAAGGCAAAATTTTCCTGCCCCTGTGACAACTCGTACAGTAAAAGATGGGCGGCTTCCATCTTCTGAACGCCCGGCTGATAGGCTCCTCCAGTCATCTAACAAGGACATGCAAGTTGATGCATCAAGTAATGAGGGAAATGGTTTCGTAGAATCAAATGATTCCAGACCAGAGTATAATGGCGAGATCTCAGGACCTCGTCCAAGGAGGCTGAATAGTTCAGCAGATTTAGCTGGAGACTCTCAATCAACATCTGTGTCTAGACAGAGTTCGTGGAAACAGCCAACAGATTCAAGGCTGCTTAAAACTTCACAGCTACCTGTCCGGAAACCAGCTTCAAGTAGTTTAAGTGTGGATCCAAAAATGGGTGTTAAGAAGCCTCCCACAAAAAAGCTTTCTTCTGTAAGCACTATGTACCAGGATACATCCGTGGAGCGGCTTCTGCGGGAGGTTACAAATGAAAAGTTTTGGCAGCATCCAGGTATCAACCTTCTTTACTCGTTTGCTTTGGTTGATCGGTACCAGTTGATTGATTTTGGGTTAAAAGATTTCTCCTGCCTTTTGTCATTGACTTAATCTGTTTTAATGTTGGATGGTGAAGTTTTAAATTACTGATTGGAGGTTCTATGTGTTTTCCATGATCTTTATAATTATCATAATCAAGTTGTTGTAGCTTATCATAAATCTCCTCAAAGAAGAATAATGATAGTCTCTGTACTTTCTGAGATGGACAGAGATAAGGTGCATATGATATCTTGAAGAATTGATTAACAATCCTAGTTTCATCAATTTAATCACGTTGCTGTGGTCTGGATATAACATGGGTTTGAAAACTACTTTAATTTACTTTTCATACTTCAAGTAATTGGAGGCATGTTTACTTTGCAATGGAGCTGATTTGATTAATTTAGCAAAAATTTAACTTTTTGGATGTCTGCTCTCTATGAATTTCGTAGTGGGATCTTTTTTTCTTTCACCATTCTTCTTCTTTATGCACGTGTCTCTTTCGTTGTGTTGATGGTCGTTGCCACTTCTTCTCCTAAGGTCTCATGATTCAAATGGGTGTTATCTGCGAATATTTCCGTGCCCGTATCGGTGATTTGAGTAAATGGTGGTCTTTGTATGACTCAGGCCCATGCTCAGCAGAGGGGATCCTACAGCTTCGTCTGGTGGGCTTCTCAGTTGACCGTAAAGCTTTCGGGATGAAGACTAATGCTGTCATCCTGAAATGAGCTTTAGTTATCTTTTTTGCTGTTACTAACCATTGAAGTTGGATATATGGCATATGTATATGTGCTCTATGAAGAAATGCTCTTTTATGAGAAAGCCTACCAGGGTTGATTTGATCTCCTTCCAAACTGTCTGAAAGGGAGAAAAGCAAGATTCTAGAACAATTAGTTGATAGTTCTGAAATTTGAAGCTGTTGTTGCATTCTGAGGAAGCCAGTAATGTTAATCTGCATGTAACGGACTATGAATTGCTCATCTAAGAAATTTTGCCATATCTATGAGCTCTTTTTTTTTTGGTGGTTGGTGAGGTTTATATGGTTTTTGTGGTCTTGTTTTAGAATTCTTTGCTTGTCTCTCTCTTTTAGCTGTTTTGTTTGAAAGCTAATATAGTTTGTTTATTTCTGTGGTTTTTATGCTGTTAACAAAAAATTTTTCCCCCCTTTTCTTGGGTTATCCAGAGGAAGCGGAACTCCAATGTGTGCCAGGGCGCTTTGAATCCGTTGAAGAATATATCAGAGTATTTGAGCCTTTGCTGTTCGAGGAGTGCCGCGCACAGCTGTATAGCACTTGGGAAGAATTGACCGACACATATACAGGACATGTAAAGGTTCGCGTGAAAAATGTTGAAAGACGAGAAAGAGGTATGAAGTGTCTTTTCTGTATATGTTGTTCCTGTTCTTCGGTAAACCTTTTCTGGTTGGGATGAGCATGTCTGCTTCTTGCGTTTAATTTCATTTATGAAATGTGGGGTTTAATAACACCCAGGATTGTGATATAATGTACTGGAAAGGTTTTTGTTGCTTGTGACGGGGGTTAGTTGGCATTGAGTGTTGAGGTATACTGGTTGCTTTGAATGTTGGAGGACATTTTAATAATGCATTTTGCTCTGGTTCTGATTTATTGACATTCTTAAATTTCCTTCATGTTCCAGGATGGTATGATGCAATACTAGTCCCAGTTTCCGAGTACAAATGGACTTTCAAGGAGGGTGATGTTGCTGTTCTTTCCTCTCCTAAGCCTGGATCGGGTAAAGAAAATGCTGTATTATACTAATTTGGAATTTCAATTTTTTAAGCTTCATACTCTGAACTGGAATCTGTTCCACGATGCAGCAAATTATAAGAGAAGTAGTACATCTGCTGTGGAAGAAGATGAGGAGGGTGAAATTAGTGGCCGTGTGGCAGGAACAGTCAGAAGGCACATCCCTATTGATACTCGAGACAGTCATGGGGCTATTCTCCATTTTTATGTTGGAGATTCTTATGATTCCAATAGGTCAGTAGCAGTTGCTCATTCCTTTACTTGATTCACTTCACTGCCAGAATACTGTGTCGTTGACTTATTCTGCTCTTGTCACTGGATCATTAACTGTGAAATCTGTTAGCCAAGCTCACCTAGAGTTGTTGAATATTTTGACAGCAAACTTGATGATGACCACATTCTGAAGAAACTACAGCCGAGGGGTGTCTGGTACCTTACTGTTCTTGGATCTCTTGCTACCACGCAAAGAGAGTATGTCGCCCTGCACGCTTTTCGACGTCTTAACATGCAGGTGAGATTCGTAAAATGTAGTATTGAAGCTATTCAGTTGTGATTCCTTTTTGCAAATTGTAAATTGACTCTTCCTTTTTTCTTCTTCTTCTCCTTTTTTTATTTTTTATTTTTAAATTTGTAGATGCAAAATGCGATTCTTCAACCTAGTCCAGATCAGTTTCCTAAGTATGAAGAGCAGCCCCCTGCAATGCCTGAATGCTTCACACCTAACTTTGTTGACCACTTGCATAGAACCTTTAATGGGCCCCAGCTAGCAGCAATTCAATGGGCTGCAATGCATACCGCTGCTGGCACAACTAATGGGTTGGCAAAGAGACAAGATCCTTGGCCATTTACTCTGGTTCAAGGTCCTCCTGGTACAGGCAAGACTCATACTGTCTGGGGAATGCTGAATGTCATTCATTTAGTTCAGTATCAACACTATTACACGGCATTGCTCAAAAAGCTGGCTCCTGAAAGCTATAAGCAGACTAATGAAAACAATTTTGAATCTGCTGCCACTGGTTCAATTGATGAAGTTCTCCAGAGTATGGATCAGAGCCTCTTCCGAACTCTTCCAAAACTCTGCCCGAAACCTAGAATGCTTGTCTGTGCTCCTTCCAATGCTGCAACTGATGAGTTATTATCTAGAGTCCTTGATCGAGGTTTTATTGATGGTGAGATGAAAGTTTATCGTCCTGATGTAGCTCGAGTTGGAGTGGATTCACAAACACGTGCTGCTCAAGCAGTTTCTGTAGAGCGTAGAACTGATCAGCTCTTGAATAAAAGCCGTGATGAGATTTATGGTTGGATGCACCAGTTAAGGGCTCGTGAAGCTCAGTTGTCACAACAGATTGCTGCCCTGCAGAGAGATCTCAATGTTGCAGCTGCAACTGGTCGTGCACAAGGATCCGTGGGTGTTGATCCTGATATTTTAATGGCTAGAGACCAAAATCGTGATGCTTTGCTTCAAAACCTTGCAGCGGCAGTTGAGAGTAGAGATAAAACATTGGTTGAAATGTCCCGCCTTCTTATTTTAGAAGGGAAGTTCCGTGCTGCAAGCAATTTCAGTTTGGAGGACGCTCGAGCTAATCTTGAAGCAAGTTTTGCCAATGAAGCTGAAATTGTTTTCACCACTGTTTCAAGCAGTGGGCGCAAACTATTCTCACGTCTTACTCATGGTTTTGATATGGTAGTGATTGACGAAGCCGCACAAGCCAGTGAAGTAGGAGTACTTCCTCCCCTCTCTCTCGGAGCCGCTCGGTGTGTTCTTGTTGGGGATCCACAGCAGCTTCCTGCCACAGTAATCAGCAAGGCAGCTGGGACCTTGATGTACAGCAGAAGTCTTTTTGAGAGGTTTCAGCAAGCTGGTTGTCCGACAATGTTGTTATCTGTTCAATATAGGATGCATCCGCAAATCAGGGATTTTCCCTCTCGGCACTTCTACCAAGGGCGCTTATCGGATAGCGAGAGTGTTGCTTGTTTACCTGATGAGGCCTATTACAAGGATCCTATGCTGAGGCCTTATTTATTTTATGATATTACCCATGGTCGGGAATCACACCGGGGTGGATCAGTGTCTTATCAAAATAGAGAAGAAGCTCAATTTTGTTTACGATTGTACGAGCATCTGCAGAAAACCACTAAATCGTTAGGTATGGGGAAAGTAACTGTCGGCATTATCACCCCTTATAAGTTGCAGCTAAAGTGCCTTCAACGTGAATTTGATGATGTACTTAATTCAGAAGAAGGAAAAGACATCTACATAAATACTGTGGATGCTTTCCAAGGTCAAGAGCGTGATGTCATTATTATGTCGTGTGTTCGTGCTTCGAATCATGGAGTGGGTTTTGTTGCAGATATCCGCCGAATGAATGTTGCTCTAACTCGTGCTCGAAGGGCTCTTTGGGTACGTTTCTCCCCTCCCCTCCCCAACTAAAATTTAATTTTTTCACGGTTATGTATGTGTCAAGGAATTGACTTTTTTTTGGTGCCCTTTCTGTTATCTTTTCAGGTGATGGGGAATGCAAATGCACTGGTACAATCTGATGATTGGGCTGCTTTAATAGATGATGCCAAAGCTCGGAACTGTTATGTTGATATGGATACTTTGCCTAAGGAGTTTATACAAAAATCTTCTCCATATCCTTCATATCAGTCAAAGATCCCGAACAATAGGGGTTTGAGAACTGGTCACAGGCATAGGCCTTACGACATCCATTTGGAATCCAGGTCTGGTACCCCATCAGAAGATGATGAGAAATCAAATACTTCAAGGATGCTAAGAAATGGGAGTTATCGGTCTTTTAAGCCAATTGAAGGCTCCTTGGATGATATTGATCAGTCTGGTGATAAATCTCGAGATGCCTGGCAATATGGCATTCAGAGAAAGCAAAGTTCTGCTGGAGCTGTGGGGAAAAGGGACTAATAACGCTAGGTCATCTTTTGCTAGTTTCTGCATTGCGGAGGAGGCAGATTGTTTTTGAAACCCTGCTGTTCATCTCATATGCCGTCTTGTGCATGTGTATGATTAGTTGAGATGGGATTATGTGCTGACGGCTTTCAACCAGGAGGCTATTATACGGGTCGATTGTGTGCTAACTGGGCTATTCCGGCATATTTGTTGCTCAGATCTACAAGGTGTGCTTCTGGTATTTGCATTGCAGTTCATGAATTGATAAGAAAATCCTGATTTGTGGTCTGAAATTTCCCGGGAGCCAATCATTATGCTGTTAAAGGACCACCATATTACGTGAAAGTGCCTAACAATTCATCGTTGGACTAGGAAGCAGCACAACAAACCAAGACAGGTAATTCCTCTTATTCTTGATACATGGAGGCTTTTTCTGGAAAGGAATAGCAAAAGAGTGCATGGGAGGGAAGAGGAAATGAAAGTCTAAGGTTATATCTGGGCGGGGCTGATGGTGAGACTTGAAAAGAAATTGGTTTGAACTTGCCGATCCTCTTTCTTGGAAGGAAGAAAATACGTGAAGGCTGTAAGAAACAGCAATGCTACCCAAAGCCTGCATTTGGGGGGTGTTTTGGCTGAAGATTAGTCGCTAGATTTTGGAAAAAAAATGGTGCTTCCATTTGTGTATGGATGGAGATGAAAAGAGGCGGAACTTCGTTTTTGTAGATTTTGAAGATGCTGTACAGGACACACAAGATTATTACACTTGGGACTATCATCATATAGCTGAAGGCTGAAGTGCCGTTGGGATGTTTGGGCTTTGTTTCTGTATATATTTCCAGTTAGTTAGTATTAGTAGCAGTAAGATTCTTTCAAAGTCACTACATTTACTCTTGAATTTCATATGTAGAAAATATAATTTTGATTTCAATTTATTTGTTAGTCTTTTAGCTCATTTCAAATTTTCATCAAGTGTGTATCACAATTTTTCTCCCTATCCGGGTTTCTGTTCACCATTTCTGTGTTAACTTGCACCATAAAGTATTGATCATGATCAATGTAACACCTCTATTATGCCAACTGATTCTTGTTACACTAATTAGATTTTTTCTGCCAGCTCCAGTTCTTCCTCCTAGATTGATCCACACGTTAGGCGAACGAACTTTATAGATCATAATTCATAGCCGTGAGAAAAGAAAAAAAAATTAGTACTACAGCCTACAGTAAATAATGTAGAAAAACAAAGCAGGGTTTTATAGTTAAAAAAAAGAAAGAAAATTGATTTTACTGCTACTGTTTTTTTTTTACTGTTCTTGCACGTATCTTGACAGCATAGACAAATTCTGACCCTGTCTTTAAGGCAAAGAAATGTTTTTTTTTTTTTTTTTGGCAGTATTTTGGTATTTTCACATGGTGAATACGCCATATATGACAACATTAACTCATAAGTCCAAAACGTCAAACAACATCGCCAACCCATTTGGAATCTCTGTAATCCAAGGCTCTGCATTGACCTTACTCTCATCATAATAATTGGCAGTTTTGGATTCCTCCCAGCTTCAAAAAAAATCCAATCTTTGGATTCCTCTGTACAGGTAAAATGCTGTTTCAAATCATTGGCAATTGATCATTTTCTGGGTTTCGGGCCTTGTAGAAGAGTTATATAGTTGTTTATTCTTTTAGTAGGTATTGATCCTTGGTTACTTCAAATTTCAAAAGTCGTTTTTTTCTGTTTTTGGTTAATTTCTGATGCGGGCTCGACTTGAGCTATATCTGCTGCATTTATATCTGGCGGTGATTGGTTTGCATCTATTTCTCGTGGGGTTTGGTGGAAAAAAAAAATTGGGTTGTTTGAGTGATCCGTTGGTTAATCTCGCGGGTGTAGCTTTGAGTTGAGTTGATTGTCCAATTGATTCCTTGATCTTTCATCTGTTAAAACTGTTTGAAGTTTTAAATATGGATGTTGTTTACTGTGGAATTTTAATTATTGGTGATGAAGTGGAAATTGGATGTTGTTCACTGTGGAATTTTAATTTACGTAAACGTTGACGTTGATTTTCCTAGGCTTTTATTTTCCTTCTCTGTGGATTGTGGAATGATAATGATTTTATACCCGTCATGAAGTGTTTTTGTGGGTAGATTTCCTGGCATGATTTTGGAATATACTGGATGTTATTTGAATCACTGCTGATAAACCAGTTTGGATATATAAAATCTCTGTATGCCAGTTGGCTGGCTGATTAATGGATGTTAAACATGGCACGCAGACTGGACAACTTCTAGTGCGGCTATCATTAAAGCAGTCTGTTAGAAGTTTACTATAAGCTAGTAGTTCCAAGGTGAAAGTTTCATATTCAGAATATTTTTGTCATGTCTGCCATTCTTTGGTCCTAGGTATTGATAATGGTAAAAATACTTGGTGATCTAAACAACACAATTGTTGATTGATTGATCAGTCCTGGACCTTTGGAGGCGGATAATAATATAAAGTATTCTGGAGTTGGTCTGATCGAGGTCATGTAGTCTACTAGTGTTAGCCCGATTTCCCTCAGCTCTCTTGTCATCTTATTAGGATGATATAAATAGTTGGATTGCTACTTAATTTTCTTCTGAACAGGGGTTATTCAATAGCCTCCAAGACTATAATCATTAATCTGTCGAATTACCCAGTCAATTTCTTCATTTTCCCTAGAGAAGTGAGTGTATTCGATCTGATTGTGTTTATCTTCCTGGATCTTAATTGCTCCCATCGACCCAATCAACAGGTATAATCATTTGAAACAAGTGGGAGTCTTCATAGTATGAGTTCAGGGGCAAAAACTGCTGAATCTAATGGACATGAAGTCTCTTTGGCACCGGAAGAGGAACAGGCAAAGGTACAACTGTGTATCCTCTGTTTGTTTACCATGCTTATGGACCTGATGGTGGATGTGTTATTTTTTTAGCCGCATTATATTTGCCAACATTTTCTTTATTGGCAGATCAATGAGGTCAGAAAGTTGATAGGACCCGTCTCAGGCAAATTGGCATTGTATTGTAGTGATGCATCGATATCAAGATATCTAAGGGCACGAAATTGGAATGTCAAGAAAGCCACTAAAATGCTCAAAGCTTCGCTAAAGTGGAGAAGTGATTACAAACCAGAAGAGATTCGATGGGTAAAACTTACTTACCTTGCAATAAATTTTCCATTTGCTGCTTCTGCCTGCTAGGTTATGATCTTGTTCAATTTGACTGCTAGAAGTTTGCTGTTACTTGATGGCTTAAGTAATGGTGATTAACTTTAATGCTTTATGTATTATCTTAGGCTATTGTTTTCCAATAACTATTGGAGGTATCCTTAGACTCATGGCTAATTTATATTTTGTTTTGATGCAGGAAGATGTTGCTCAAGAAGGACACACAGGAAAAATTTATCGATCAAATTATACAGACAAGCTGGGGAGGACAGTTCTTGTCTTGAGGCCTAGTTGTCAAGTTGGTCCATACTCCTGTCTTATTCACTTTTTTTGCTTCTTCATCGTAGTTATATATGTAACTGGATACCATTTTGTAATCAGATGGTTACATTATATAGAGATTCTATTAGAATTTGGAGCTTAGTTAACATAACCTTTTTTAAATTGGCAATCAATTAATATCCAACTGAGGGATATAATGCATTTCGACCTTAGAATCATTTTATGTCTTTCGTTTATGTTCTCCAGGTTTTTATTATAGTTTTTACCTCTCTGCAGAACACAAAGTCTGTCAAAGGCCAAATCAAGTATTTGGTTTACTGCATGGAGAATGCTATTCTAAATCTTCCAAAAAACCAAGAACAGATGGTTTGGTTGATTGATTTTCATGGTTTCAATTTGTCCCACGTTTCACTCAAGGCCACAAAGGAGACAGCTCATGTCCTACAGGAGCATTACCCTGAGAGGCTGGGGATAGCGGTTCTGTATAATCCACCCAAAATATTCGAGCCCTTTTGGAAGGTACTCTGTCAATTTGATAGATCCTAGTTTGTCTGAGAAAACTGTGTGAACGATGATCTCATTAGTGGACTTTTACCATTGATTTCAGTTTGGGTTTATAGAGCCAAATGTGTGGAAATCTTTAAGGTTGATTAAGGGTGCAGTTTGCCATGAAATGCAAGTGATTTTATATAAATGCAAGTTCAGGAGATCAATGCAGTACTTCTATGACTAGCCCGTCTGCTGAGCTTCTGAATTTGTTGAACATAGTAGCGATCGCTGCTGTTGTTGTTTCCTGACTTCTTGCCTTTTTAAATAAAAAAACTAATGCACATTGTAAAGTTGGCAAATTTAAACAGTACTCACAGGATCTTTGGGTGAATACATCACAGGCATGTTGATTAATTCTTATCCTGAAATGCCACCATTTATTCACCCAGGCATGTTGATTTATTCTTATCCTGAAATGCCACCATTAAAATGAGCAAAAAGAAACAAGATAATGGTCTGTGTTATTGTTTCTATTTCCGTTTCCCTTCTGTATAACAAGGTAGCCTAAAAGAGGGGCTGTTGAACTTGATTTATGATTCAATAGGTAGTTCTTGATATATAAGCATGATTACCGCTTACAAGTGATCAGGTTTCATGGTTTTCCATGTGATGGCTATATTCTTAAGTTTCCAGTTGGGTCCTGGATGTTTTTCCTTCACCATGATATGATTATTACGTTGCAGGTAGCAAAACCGTTTTTGGAGCCCAAAACTGCTAACAAGGTGAAATTTGTTTATTCTGATGATTCAAATACCATCAAGTTACTGGAGGAGTTGTTTGACATTGAACAACTGGAGCCTGCTTTTGGGGGAAAACACGGTGAAGATTTTGACATAACAAAATATGCTGAGCGCATGAAAGAAGACGATAAGAAGATTCCTTCATTCTGGAAGATCAATGGAGAGGCCACAGCAGCCTTGGAGCGAGTTCCTTCAGCCAATTCCAGTAAATTAGAGTTAGAGTCCGACACTTCAGACGAGAAAGAAGATGAAATATCAACTGAAGAAATTGATGATATAAAAGATTTGTCCATTGAGGATGATCCCTTGCCTGAGACTAAAGAAGGCACTGTTGACTTGAAAGTAGAGAAATGAGTACAAACATCATTAGAACTCTTAAAATGCATAATTGTGCAGACCAAGCCCTTCTTTCTATTTTAACCTTTTTGAGGAGGGGGAGAATTTCTGTCATCTGATGGACTGCTTAGGCAGTAACTTGTCTCTACTGCCACTTTGTTATTCTCTCTTTTTCTTCTCTTCTATTTTGAACAATCTATTCATGTTAATGATGTAATTTTCCTAGTTTCAAATCCTTAGGCAAATCTGGTTTAGATGTAGCTTCATTTGGATGTGTTGACAAGGTTACAAATTTTATACTCTCGTCCCAAAAATGTTTGTCCTGTTTCTCTAGTTTAGGACAAAGTGAATACATCCTAATTCCAAAAATGTAGACTCTTCAAAATATAGAAAAGAATGTTAATCTGTTATCATTACCATTCATCTTAATGTTCAGTTGTCTTTTTGGACTTGCACTTAAAAGAAGTCTACGGCTATGATAAATACTTTAATGATAATGTAAATCATCTTTCATCATAATATGCTCAGAAATTTAGCTAAGAAGAAAAAAAAAAAAATTCTTTCCATCCCATTTCCAGCTAAGAAACACTATGCAAGATTATCAGTGCCTTGGTGGTTCAAGACTTTCAAGTCGTGAGCTAAAACACTTAGCAAGATTATTGTCGGATCCAAGGAACTCAACGTGGTGCCCACAAACATTAGGTGTTAGTTTATGAATGAAAAATTGAAAATTCTTTATTATCTCAAAATGGTGGAAGTGAAATCATAAATGAAGACCAACATTCTGCGGTGCCTGAGCTCTGAAAAAAAACTCACTCCGAGCCTATAAAACGAGGTCTCAAACTTTGTCACTAAAGTAGAGGAAACTCAAAACAATTGTAAGAGAAGATTCACTTGTATGAATTCTCTCAAACTTCTTTTTGTATATCTCTACATGCATAACACATAGCCCACAGACAAAAAAGACCAATTACCAATTCAGAGTCCTTGATTTCTTTTACACAGTAAACATCAGAAGATGGATTACCCTTCTAAACCATATGACAGTATGGAAACCTGATTAACACTACAGAAGGTACAAAAAAATACAGTAGCTACTAGCCTATCAGCGTCCATGCAAGATGTATGTAAGTTATCCACGCAGTTTCGACTGATCATGAAGCTTGTATTGACAAACAAAAGCCAACCCTGTAAAATAAATAAATAAATAAATGATAATAATAAATAAAAATTCATGAGATGATATCCAATATAAATTAGAAAAGCTCTGGTTAATAAAACCAAAGATTGGTACCTTTGATCCATTATTCAGGCATCTCATCTAACTTCTGCCTGTACTGGGCTAAACGCTGCAGAGTTCAAGTCAGGAAGGAAAGGTTTAATCAACAACATAAACACTAGAAGACAGAGAGTAACAAGGCGGACGTTTGAAAGGATAGCTCAGACACATGCCGCAGGAACACTCTCTTTCCCAATTAATAGACTATCTGAACCGTAGATGGGCACCTTTGCTGACTATTCGGTTGATATGTCCATACTCGAAGCAAAGACTGTGTGTACTGAGGATATATCCTTCAACATAATATCTCAGAACTTACAATTAATGCATACATGTGGATTGATTTGTGCGTTCACTTGAATCTATGGATGAAGACAATGTTTTGAGGTTAACATTTGGTTTTTGCTTGGTTTTGTCCTAAATGTATTATCAAAGGACGTTAAGCGAAATCCCCAGTTCTCACGTTTTACCTCTAAAAAAACAGCTTTTTGTACTTTTATTTCATCTTTTGTGTTTAAACTGAATACAAAACGAGTATGTATATTAAGCCTTTCAAATAAAATATATGGGAAAGATGCTGATTATGCAGATCCAAAGCTGTCAAAGAGCTAACCTTGGTATAAGCATAAACCCCTGCCTCTGTAGGGGCTACTGGACTTCCTCTTCGAATGAAACTTCCCTCCTTGAATATGTAAAGCATGGGTATACCAGTAGAAAGTTCCAAACTTATAACCTGGCAATGAAAAGGCTTATTTTAGTTTATTGATGACATTAAGATCATGATCCAAATCAATTTGGCTCCTCACCTCTTGGGAAGTCAGCTTGTCAAGATACATTATGATAGACCTCAATGAGTTTCCATGAGCAGCAATCATTACATGTTTACCGGACCGAAGTTGGGGTTCAATCTACAGAAGCGTAAGTGAAGTATGAGTGTGAGATGAGAGAAGGGAAAAAAGAAAAAAAGAAAAAGAACAGACCAAAAAAGAAGAAAAATTGTAAGTAATAAACAGTTTCACCTGTGATTGAAAATAGGCAACGGCTCTCTCAGCACACATCTCCAAGCTCTCACCATTTGGAGGAGGTATATCATAACTACGGCGCCACTCGTGAACTTGTTCCTTTCCATAGCGATCAGCTGTTTCCTGCTTATTCAGACCCTGGAGTTCACCATACCTAGAAGGGGAGTGGTACTCAGTAAAGAATATAGAAAAGGACATAGAATAGATGATGATATATAGGCATCACTGAACTGTAAAAGAGGAAAGATGACACATACATTCTTTCATTTAATTGCCAAGCTGTTATAACTGGAATGCATTGCTTTTTGGTCTCTTCACTGAAAATTTGACTCCATGCCCGTGCCTGATCATTCTCATCATGCTGAATGATCGGAACCTGCAATTAGGTGGACAAAAGATAATATATTATTGCCAAGATATAGAAATACTTAAAATGGGATAAAGTTTGGTGTGAATTTCATATGTTTTCAGAGAAATTTTACCAATCAACAGAGCCAAGATGCTAGCATGAGATGAATGTTAACAAAGCAGAAATTTTGATTGAATTTTCCATGAGGCGGATGTTACCTCTTTGACATGATAAAAGGGAAAAAGATCAAAAGTGAAGCTTTCCAATTTTACCTTCTTACGGCGGTGCTGGGTCATTGCTAACATAGCAGTCATCTGGGCACGAATCAAAGAAGATGTGTAGATCACGTCGACAGGAATGTTGCTGATCCTTTTCCCAGCCTCAATTGCCTCTTCCACACCTTTCTTGGTCAATGGGACATCCACACAGCCTGTAAACAAGTTTTTTTCGTTCCACATTGACTCACCATGCCTGATCAGGATCAAGGCAGCCTCACCTAGAAAAGCAATCTAATCAGTCTAAAATATGATATATATTGTGGCAGCCTAAACTTAATTCACTACATCAAGTAGATGTACAAGTCTAACCAATACAAGCTTCATATGAAAACTGCACAAGATAATAAAACTGCACCAGAGATCCAACTTACTTGATTTCTTTTTTGAGTCACTTGTCGTATTACTTGATGGAGCTGAAACAGGGTCAAAAACTGTTGCCTGAGAAGTTGAGGCATGAATTACACTAAAACTTTTGTTCCTAAAGCAGTGGTTTCCACTCTTGATGAAGGCTACATCGACCTTGAATCCCTTTGAGATCAACTTCAATGAACTATTTGAACTTTCTGGAGGAAATCCAGAACTACCGAAGCAACCATGGGATTGAAGAGTCCCAAGGGCTTGCTGAAACACAGCAGTTGCCATCCTAAACAGCAAAACAACATCCAAGAATTAAAACCAATTTCCAGTTTTGACAAAGAATACAGAATAACGAGGAGAAAATCGACATACCATACATTCTACCTAAGTAAACCAATGAAAATCAATTATCCCAATTATAGTTTTGAGTATTTGTTTGATAACTTCTACTCAGTAACTGGGGAAAAAGAGGGCCAGAAGAACATTCTACCCACGTGCTTCGAAGGGAAAAGGTATTCAATCAAACATGCATTGGCATCTAATTCAATCATACAACAGTTAAGAATCACCAAATTTATATTCTCCGGCTGAATATCAGAAACACATTAATTCATCCATCCATTTCTGCCACGAATAAATAGAAAAAGGGACATCCAAAACAGACCCAGATCTAGAAAATCCAAAATACACTCGAAAAAGAAAGTGCATGGAAAAATTAGCCAGAATGACAGTAACGAAAAATTTCCACCTAAATTTGTTAAAAAAAAATGCTGAACAAAAACTTACTGATCAAACAAAATTAGTCAAAAAACCCAAGAATCCCAAAAAATACAGCATAAACCACCAATCTGTGATGAAGAAATATGAATAGAAACACATAAAGATCGTACCTTTATATAAGGGCCAGAGCCAGAAGAATCTTCCCTTGATGAATACTAAAACTAAAAGGGCACGCGAAGAAACCGAGGCTTAGGAGAAATCAAAAAGAAAAAAGAAAACAAAAACTAGAGCCCCAAAACTCTCTTCTCTCCTCTTTTTCCAAGATTTTTGAAAAGAACCCGAAAACAAAGAAATTACTCAGAGCAATAAAAAGTTGACGGAGAAGAAGATGAACAAAAACGATCCCTTTTCTCACATTTGCATTCTAAGTCACACGGCTACGACTAATAAGCGGGTATTTTCCGATTTGTATACGATCAATTTGTGTACATTTTGACTAATGGCTAAAAAAGAAATGTATAAATTTGGACTCTTTGAGGAAGAAATCGGTTGTGTTTTTTGATTGCCAAGGTGGAAGTTTGATTCGTGTCCTTTTTTCAAAGTTGGCAATTTGCTGTTGGTTATAACTATGAAGAAAAGGGCAAAAAACAGAGTGATGTGGCGTTCTTTTCTAGTCCCAGATGTTCATATTTATACACTTTTTTTGGTTTTTTCCTTCCAGTGGGTTCTGGTAATTTAATTTGGAGGGTAGGTTCTTGTTCTGGAGTGCTGAGAGATTGTTGAGAAATTGAGAACAGAAGAGGAGTTTCCTGTCCCTATTTTGTGACGTGACTTCTGTATTAAAAGGCCGCAATTTTACATACCAAAGAGAATAATTATTGTAATAATGTAGTAATTTTTTGTTTGAGACTAAAGAAATACTTATTGATTTTTTTTAGGGTTAATGTCGTCAACACTCTTGAGGTTTAATTCATTATTTAAAATGCCTTTACTATTTAAAAAACTAAATTTAAACTATCTTTTTTAATCCGTTAGTTAATTATCCAAATACAGTAGAACTTCTAGGAATTAATAGTGTCGGGGCCACTAAAATTTACTAATTCAGCGAACTATTAAATCATCGATAAATTAATTATTAATTAAAGAATTTGTATAAGAAAAAAAAAGAACCGTCACTAAATTACTCAATTTGTAGTTCGCCAGGGTAACATCCGAATCAATCAAGTATTAGAACTATTTTGAATGCTAAGAATTTATACATAGTTCATATTATTTCCAGAGACTAAAAAACAAGTCTTATAGTTCATATTTTACTAAAGATTTATAGTAATTATTTTTTTTTGTTAGTGTATTTATTAATTTATGATATTGTTGGGACCTATAGATATATAGGAGATTTCCTGAAACATTATTATCTTATCATTTTATCGATTTTTCTCACTTTTTGTACTGGTTCCAAGAGGACTAGAGAAAATTATTAATTATTAGAAATTATTAATTTATAAATTATTAATTTATGGACGTTCTATTGTAATCATCTGTTGACTGAAAATTGACGTACGCTCATGAATTGAGTTAAAAAAAAAGTGTCGAACAGACTTTTGTAACTCGTAAATGCCCTCCTAACCTTTGTTTTCTTCAAACTCTATAAATTAAATATCGACTTCCAAATCTAACATTCAGTTTTCAAAGGCTAGTAAAAAACTAAATTTCTGATTTAAAACTTGATATTTTATTTTATTAGAGTTTGAAAAATATCTCAAGAGAATTTTTATGGGGTACAAACATTTTTTTAGCGGAGTTCATATGCAAGCATCAATTTTTCAGTCACCGGATGATTCTTTGATAATTGATTAACCGATTTAGGATTTTTTTTGTTATTTTCTTGAACGGTTTTGGATAATCAACTAAATCTCTACGTATTTTTGAACTTTCAACTCATGTTAGCATGACGCTATAAGCTTTTACTATGTTATGATTATGATTTGAATAAAAAAAAAAAACCTTTGAGATAGAACAACATTTTCCACTTGAAAAATATGAGATCATTTCGTTTCACCATGTAGGTAGGACATTGACATTCGTTTTTTTACGCTTAGAAAGGTCGAGAAATGTCACTAACCTCCTTGAATTCCCAAACTAAAAGAGAACATGTATCCTGTATAGGTCTGATTTGAAAGTTTTTGAAAAAATACAGTCCTTTATTATCTCTCAGAGATATTTACTCTCTTCATTAGAGAATAAACATGATTTTTTTTTTTAATCTTAAAGAGGACGAGTGATGAGTGATGGCCAAAAAAGGATTTACATAAATATTGATTTTTTACTCTTTATGTAATGAGTGGATTAACAATACTAGCAGTGATCTATTTAATTAATCAATTATTGTAAATATTGAAGCCAATTCAAATGCAAACAACCCTTGAGAACCTTATAGGGACCAAACTTCTTAAAAAGGGTTACAATTGTTAACCATCTTCAAGACAGACCAGAAAAGAAATAAAATATATGTATATACATTAATTGAAATGTCAAGTACCAAACCAAACATTTGCAGCTCTTCAAAGTCACCAAGAATTAGAAATGCACCTAATTCTCCCCTTTCTCTGTTAGTATTTGTTGTTGGTGTTGGCCCTTCTTCTTGTTGTGGCTGCGTGTTCCATTTCACATCAATTGTCACATGCTTTGCTCGTGCCTAATTATTTTAAGCCATCTTTGTGTTCTCAATGTTCTTCTCCCAACTACCTCCTTTCAAGCAATTCTATGTCCAATTGTCTGTCCATTTAATGGTCATCACTAAGAACAAGTTGCAATTTTATCATAAAAGAAATTTCTACACAATATGATGTAGACCGAATGATGTTTTGGTTGGATGTTTGTATTCTAAAATGTTAATCCATGTCCGAGAACAATAATCCATATTAAATATCATAATTTGTTTAAAAATCAGTACAAATCTGAAAACTCAATTTACAGTATTTTTTTTTTACGGAAATAGTATCAAAAGTTTTGAGTTTGGTTGGTTTAGACTGGTTCAAATTCTAATGTTTTCGACTTTTGTTTTGAGTAACATTTTTGAACCTTTTAACTCATGATTAATAATTCTCGATTTATGTATGTTTTGGACTTTCTTTAACATATTCAAAATGGAGGATCTCCGGTGGAATATACTCCGAGGGAAAAACCAGTTTTCATTTATTTATTGTATTTTGTTGACATTGAATCCAAGCAATGGAGCCAGATCTTCTCGCTGATTTGTGCAATCTACGTACTGTCGATTGGTTTAATCCGTAATACTCCTTCTGTTTCATAATTATTGTCCAGTTTGGGATTTCAATTTTAGTACAATTTGAACTAAAAATGGAAACCCAAACTGAACAATAATTATGGGGCGGAAGGAATAACAATTATGACAAGTTGTTGAAGTCTCCGAAAAGAATTTATCTGCTCAACTATACATTAATTTGAGGGTTTAAGATGAATTCATATTTTTTTTTGTAAAAGGAAAAGAAAAAAGAAAAAGAAAAAACCTTTAAAGCCCATCTTTGCATGAATTCCCATCTTTTTCATATCTTACACTAAATCATTTCTTTAGCCTTTTTTTTTTATTATTATTTGGGCCTATAAAGTTCATCATTTCATTTCATTTCTTTTTTCCGGGAGTTACAAACTACAAAGTTCATCATTTTTTTGTTAGTCATACACCACTACATTGTAAGCCCAAGTTTAGGGATAATTGGGCTTATTACTCTAAATTCTTCAAAGATTGGACTCAGTCCAACCCCATCAAATACAGGCCGTAGGTGCTCATTAACAAAAGAAATGGTTCCTAATCACTTGGATGGGATTGTGCGCTTCATTTGTCGATGGAACCAAACTTTAACTTAATGATGATATATTGGGTTTCGACAATGTAACTGTGTGAACATTTTTATGTTGTTTATATCACTTTCAAAGTAGGCTTTGCAGCCAATCTGGGGTACTGCAGCATCTTAGAAGCAGAAATGTGGGGGGCTTTTCGGCCTTCACATCACTTGGGAGTTAGGCTTTAGAAACATTGGTTCGGAAATGGACTCGTTAGAGACTGTCCAGCCTTTGCCTAAATTAGAGGTTTGTAATTGCTTGGCTTGAAGTGATTTGATCCTATTGGTTGTAATTGCTTAATTAGAAGCAGCTGAGGCATCGGGTTGAGTGGATTTTGAAGTAATTGAGATGCTTATGATGGCCAATCTCTTGTCTATTACTGAATAGAAGATGTATTGTGGATCTTGGCTACTATCAAGGAGATGTAGTAGTAGTATTGTAATAGTGTTTTTAGCAAAATATGCTAAGTAAAATATTAGGTTGTTGTTGTAATTTAGGCTGCTTAGCCTCCTCAGTGTGTGTGTGTGTGTGTCTATATATATATATATATATATATATATATATATATAAAGAGCCAATGGTTGTAAATAGCAGTGTATTCAGTAGAATTTGAAAACTCTTAAATCTCTACCGGAAAGTATCTGTCGGCCACACCAGTCAGAATCATAATGAAGTGGCGGATTCGCTGATGGATTGGCAAAATTTGGGTTATATTGTCTGCACGGGAGAGATTTTGTCAGCCGCTTCGACTAAAATCATAGATATTTATAGTTAGAAAGAGCAACCTCATCTAAACTCCAAAAGATGGTTTATAATCAAGCTGTCTGCTTCCCAATTATTATCATTATTATTATTATTATTATTATTATTGTTATTATTATTATATATTCACTTTCAACGTTTTTTAAGGAGTTACTAGGTTCTCTCCCATGCGTTGCACAGAATATATTAACATTCATGATTAAAATAATTATTAGTTTTTGAAAAAATATCATACTCAATTAACGGTTAATTATAAAATATAATCTAAAGAAAACGGATTATACAAAGAATAAAAGAATAGTAAAAAACAAGGTTTAAAAAGACGATGTAAAAATTAAGTGGTTATTATTAATTTCTTTGAGCTTAAATATAAAAAGAATATTTTACTTGAATTTTTCACATAATTTTACCTGTGAAATTTTAAATTTTTTCTTTTTTTTTTTAAAAAAAGGTTGACATTAGAATGATTCAATTTGAATATAAAAAATATATTTTTTTTGGATTTTTTTTCCGTAATTTTACCCGTGAAGTTTCAATAATTTTTTTAACCACAGGCGTCGAGGGTTTTTTTTTTGAAAATAAAATGTTGAATTAGAATACAATACATAATTAATATTTCTCTATCTGACAATTGAATTATCTAATTTTTATATACATTTATAACATGAATATGTTTTTATGTATGCGGCGTTAAAATTCTTTTTAAGCAATACGACGTAGTTTTGACTTAAGGTGTTTTGGAGGAAAAATTTTTAATCATAACGCGACACCTCAGTATTTTTCTTCTTTTGGACTTCTCTTTTAATAGGATATATATATATATATATATATATATTGATCGATTTTGTTGATGTCATAGTGAATAATGTTCCAAAGCAAGGTATATATACTGACTCATAGTAGTTTTGAGACGGAAGATTAGGGCTAAGATATGAGTGTAATATTATTAAATTTAGAAGTATTTTATAGGATATGGTGAGTTACGCAGGAAGAATTATAATGTAAGGTAGTCTTTTTTTTTTTTTTTTGGTTACAATAGGGTAGTTCTTTTGTAATTGCTGATTATGAAATTTTAATGTAGCGTCTTTTTTTTTTTTTTTGGTTATGGAGTATCAATCAAGATCAATGCACATTAATACCATGATTCCTAGTTTTTAACATATTTTATTTGGTCAAAGATATCATTCAATAGTAC